GGTGAGAGGCCAGCTTATCTTCATCAAGGATCTACTGACAACCAACTAGACAATTATGTGTGGCTAAACAGAATAAAATAGGAGTAGAGATGCCCATCTGGTGGTGATTTCCATCTGTGCTCCAAGTAGCCCAAAATTTCTATGAAGGCTGAGTGGAGCCATGGGTCTTACCAACCACATATTCAAGCAGAACATTTCTGCTTTCATCTGTTTATTTATTAGAGGTTATGTTTACAAGTATATGCTATAGTAAATGGCTTTGTGTAGACACAAAGGTATATCATTCACCATCCAAGATTATCATCCTAAATATGGGTTTCCTGATATGCAAAGTATGGCTTGAAAAATACATAATCACTGGAAGAAAGCTATGACAATACATCAGATGTTCACAGTATGCTTTGCTTCATGTCAACACATGTTAAAATTATGAACAGTTGGAAATAATAGTCCAGTTGCTGCACATTATCAAAATTATAAATTAAATGTAATTGAAGAAGCAGATGTTCTCCAATACCAGAAAGGGATGATTCAAGAAAATAGTGAAAAGAAACTTTGAGGAATTAGACGTTTACATCGTTTTCTTGCTTTGATTTACTAGAATCAGCTTCCTTGATGGCAAATTCATGATCCATGATTCCAAGTCTTTTGTTCAAAAATACTTAAAAAAATCATAGTGCTTTAGCTTTAGCAGATGAAAACATTATCTTAAAACTTGCATAATCTTGCACTTAATAACTAATCTGGCTCATGCTGTTCTAAAGAAGCAAAACTACCCCCCAGTCAGTCTTCCAGGTAAGAAGGAATACCCAGTAGAGCTTTGTCCCTTCCCAGGACTGGGACTCGCAGTGGAACATGGAGGAAAGATGAACGCTGAGGCAGGGACAGGCAGCCAGTCGAGTCTATGCTCTCTAAGTTGGAAAAAGCAGAAATCCAGAGCTAGAGAAGAATCTGGGAATGGACACATTGCTACAGTCCCGAGGCAGATGGGAAGACTAGGAACCTGTTCAGATTTCAGATCTGGGAATAAGAGAGGCGTAGCTAGTTAATGCAATGCACATATACCAAAATCAGGAAGAATAAGATCTGAAACTTAGGACTGCTGTAGTCCCAAACATTTTAGATAAAGGGGTATTCAACCTGTCATTAATTTGTATATTAATTCTCCTTTTTTTTTTTTTTCTGGAGCTGAGGACTGAACCCAAGGCCTAGTGCTTGCTAGGCAAGCACTCTACCACTGAGCTAAATCCCCAACCCCAATTCTCCTTTTACTAGGTTCTTAATGTGAGAGTTTAGGTTGTTGCTTGGAAACTTCCTCTTTAAAGTTTATAAACTTCCTTCCTGTGCTATTTCATGTGTATCCCACAAGTTTTGATATGTGTATTATTATTTTCTTTGTACCCATTATCTTTTTTAAATTTCCCTCGAGACCTTATCTGTGACGCATGACTACTTAAAAGTATATTATTTTACTCTCAAATATTTGGAAGCTTTCCACTATCTTTCTGTTGGTTTGATTTATTTATTGTTTGGGAAACACATGCTTTGTTACTTCAAGTCTTAAATTTGTTAGCCCTAGTTTTATGATCCAGGATATAGCCTATCTTGTTATCCCTTGGATATTGGCAAAACCCAGGATCTTTTTCCTCTCAATATCTTTTAAATTAAATTTCTTTTCTGTGTAAAGCAACTGAGCAGTATCTGGGTATTACATCTGAAAACCCAGCATCCCTTTCCACTTTCATTTAGTATTTTCTGTTGTACTAGGGAGCGTTGGCCTCACAGTACCCATCCTATACCACACAGCCAACCATGCTGCTCCCTTCTGCAGTTTTGAGAGACCGTCTCACAGAGTGAGTCCCCACTGCTTGGTATAATTCCCCATGTCCTACTTGATTAGTGACAGCCTTCTAAATATTTCCTTTCATGTCACTCTGTAACCACTAATACCTCAGAACTCATCACTGTTTCCAAAGTAACACTGCACTGTGTGCCTCTTGCTTTTGTTTACTAAGTTTATAACATTTTGTTCTTGTTAAATTTCTCTCCTGTTTGCCATATTTCTCCTATTAAAGTCCTTAGCAGCTCATTCATGTTAGTTAAGTAGAAAGCATAATTTGATGACTTGATTTTACCATCTGTTTGGAGAAATAATTAAAAGTACTTTACGAGACATGCTTTGGGCTTACATGTTTTGTTTTTAAGTAGATAGCAGTTATAAATAGAATGCCTGTTTATCATCCCTTCAGTGTGTCACACACTTTGAAAGCTGGCAGAGTCCCACCAATATTTACATCCAGGGAGCTTATAGAATTCTTGGGGCGGGGTGTGGGGGGGTGTTGCTGGGAACAGATGATCCTAAACTGAGAGTGTCCCTTGATCTCAGCTTAGTGAACTTAGGGGATAATTGTGTGAAAAGAGTCTTTTGGAGCAGTGAATGAAGAAAGCATAAAGAATCAAGGACCACATTTCTCATCCAGCTGCTTCACTGATCTTAAACTTGAACCTAGAAAATCTACTGGGCTTTGTGTATCCCATTTGAGTAACAAAGAAGTGATTTTTTTTGTAAAGTAGATGACAGATACCTAGAAACTATATGTCAAAACATTCTCTCTTTTTTTAGATATATTTTAAAACATAGAATTTAATATTTATACAATTATGTAACAGTTCTAGTTTGTTAAGTGACTGTTAGCACTGCCATAATCACTTTAATATTTTATAAATGAAATATAAAAAGTCTTTTGCATTTCATGTCTATTTCTACTTTCATAAATTTAGAATAAAAATTCCATGGCTTTTACAATATTTTACCTGTAATCTGCATGTACAATGAACACATTTTATGTCTTTTTAAACATTTAAGAAATAAAATGGTCTACTCATTTTGCTCAAAGCATTCTCACAAATACGAAGTTCTGTCTTCAGCCTGTTTGATTAAAATTTTTACAATATCCTTTGGAGCAATGGTGGAGACAGGATGAAAGAGTTCAGAAAATTCTGGTGTCATCTTCAGACTCAGTCCTAGCTTACAGCACTAATTTCTAGTCTTTCCTCTAGTCTTATGGTCATTAGGGACTTAGAAATACTGTTTGGGTAAAAATACATAGTTAAGCTCATATAGTTAATATTCAATTTTTAGCTAAACACACATGTAAGTATATATGGTCAAATGTATGCTCACTTTCAAATATGTGGCCAAACTTGTACATTTATAGTAATATTCCTATAGAATTTATCTTTAGTAACTTGGAGAAAGGTGCAGTACTTTTTTCTGAATACGAAGGAATACTGCCTTCTACAATGAGCCAATAAGACCCTGTTCTTTCCCCCAATAAAGTAATTGAGACACTTCAGGGTTTCATAATTGTGTTTTTCATCTACATTTCTGGGATGGGGAGGTGGTTCAGTGGGTAAAATGCTCACAGTACAAGTATGAAGACCACAATTTGAATCCCTAGAACCCATGAAAAAGCCAAGGGGGCATGGCATCCGTTCTGTAATCTCAGCATTCAGGAGGCAGAAACAGGATCTCCAGGACAAGTTGACTGGCTAGTAAGCTCCAGGGCCAACAAAAAACCCTGCCTCAAGGCCAGGAGTAATAAAAAAAGATACCCAGTGGCAACCTCATGTCTCCACACACATGAACACACATGTGCATCTACACATGTAAGAATACACATGCATACCACATACATATATACCCCAAAAATAAATTAATTAAATCTATATTTCCTCTAACTAGACTATAATCTTGAGAGCTAATGTAATTTTTAATTAGAACTTGAAAACCCTAGAAAAGAGCTAGGACAGAAAGGAATGCTATTTCAGGTCAACTGTGTGACTTAAAGTTTAGGTTCAAGCCCCCACTCCTAATTGAAGATCTATGGACAGTTGATAGCTTCTGGGGTAGGGAGAGTCTGTTTTCTTTAAGGGTGTGTCCCCTCAGATCTGGAAGGGATTAGGTGGAAGAGTGGGTAGTGAATATGACCAAAATATATAACATTCTCAAAGAATTAATTTTAAAAATTGTTTATGTTTCTATTTAAACCTTCAAGTAAATTATTTAAATAATATAAAATAATGAAGCAGTGTTGTGTGTTTTCTTAGCTGCTTATTGATAATGTGAATCAGCTGAGCCCAAGTGGATCCCTGTGTGGAGTCCTAGAATGCACATTAACATCTCCTAGATACCTAAAAGGGAAAATTCTTGGACCTCTTCCAAGACCTACTAAGTCAGAAAGACTGATGTCAAGGCCTAGAAATCTGTTTCAAGTCTTCTAGGATATTCTGTTATATGTACAAGTTTGAGAACTACTGGCCTAAGCTAACAGTAGTTTGTGGAATAGTTTAAAATTCATTAGCTTTGACAACAGAAACCTACCTACCTTTGAATCTCACCTCTCTGTGACTGTCAGTCTGTTATGTAATGCCTATGTGCACTGAAATTTTCAGATGATAATACTTCCTTTCCAGGTTGTTGTAAAGGTTGATTTTCACAATTTAAGTGCTTAATACTGTAACTGGTATACAAATAGGCCTTTGAAAAATGGTTGCTGTTTAACTCTCTGAGTTGCTGCTTTAAATCTGAGCATTTTAGGGAAGATACTTTTTCTATTTTGATGATTTTTTGTTTGTTTGTTTTTTGTTCTTTTGAGACAAGGTCTTCCTATAGCCCCAGCTGGCCTGGAACTCATTTGCTATGTAAACCAGGGTAGCCTCGATTTCATAGAGATCTGCCTGCCTCTGCCTCCTGAGTGCTAAGATCAAAAGCATGGGCCACTTATTCCCAGATCATCATTTTGGGGGGGGGTCTTTTTGAGACAGGGTCTCCCTGTAGCCGCAGCTGGCCTGGATTCACTATGGAGACCAGGCTGGCCTGGAAGTCACAGAAATCCACCTGCCTCTGCCTCCCAAGTGCTGGGATTAAAGGCATGCGCCACCACGCCCAGCTTCCATTTTTATTTTTAATAAAAGGATGCTCATATTTTTGCTTTTAGATTCAAGTGCCCAAGAAATTAAGGACATCTATGGACTGAGTGGTCAAATAGAACACAAAATAGCTTTCCTGAGAACTCATGTACCAAAGGACATGAAGCTTATACTCATTGGTCATTCAATAGGCTGTTATATTGCTCTCCAGATCTTGAAGCGTGCCCCTGACCTCCAGGTAAGTATGCCTTAGGGAGTGACTATATGTGCTGGTTATGCATTTAAATAAAACCTTAGCTTTCCTTTGCTCTTTGTCTCCAGTTAATAGATAAATAGAGAGAGGGGTACTTGGTGGCTGCCTGTATCCTTATCTCTTTATTACTGAAGACCTATGTTTAAGAAACACCCTCCCCAAAAAAAGAAAAGAAATTTCCATAATGTTCCAATGCATAATGGTGAGAAAGAGGGATTTTTTTCTAAATGAATATCTTTGAATCAAGGGTTCACTGGAGTTCTAATGTTGAGTAACTTGCCATTGTTTCGGAAGTGGTATTTAAAAGCACTTTTCCAGCCATGACATAGATCAGAATCTGTCTTTATTGAAAGAGTGTTTTGAAAATATTCATGCCTTTTTTCAGAAACAAGGAAATTTACATTTTTGTCATTGGTAGGTAAATAGCTGTCTGTATTTGGATTCTTTTCTGTTCTGTCGTCTGGTGGCCTTTTTGAGACACATATTTAGCCTTTCATTCAGAGATACTATTTTGTTTGCTTGTTTGTCTGTCTGTCTATTGTTATGATGCTGGGGATGGAACTAGAGCCTTGTACATGTTGGGCAAGCACTCCACCCTGAGCTATACCCTCAGCCCCACACAACTTGTTCTTGGCTATGACTGTGTACCGTATATTGAGGCATTGAAGTCACAGATCAATTTAAAGTGCCCAAGAAAGGAAGTGAACTTATAAGAGACTCAGCAAAAACCTGCACTTTCACTACCTTGTGTCTTTGAAACAACCCATTGAATGGGTGTAAGTCACATCATAATTTATTTCTTCAGAAAACATAACAACCACTGTTGTGTGTCAGGCACTTTGCTATTTTAAGGATATCCTAGTGAGTAAGACATGTCTTTGAGCTTTGAGAGCCCGGCCTCTAATAGAGGAAACAGCTAGGCATTGCTGTGGCAGGTGCCACCTTGTGGGAGTTTAGTGTGGGGAGCATGAAGGAGTGCTGCTTCACCCGAGTCCAAGGCAAGAGAGGAAGCAGGCCCCTCCTGCCATCTCTGTCCATGGAGTCTTCACTCCATGTGCTAAAACATCTCCAGCAGGGTCTTAGAGACCACTCAGAATCTGTTTCCTTTTCTGCCAGCTTAGCACATTCAGTACTCAAAAGAAAATACAGCCATTGTCTCCCTGACTGTTTTTAATACCAAATGGAGGGTTTAATTTTGTCTTTTTGGATATAAGAAAACGTATTTTGTATTTCTAAATGTGAATTCAGTAAATTGAAGATTACACCCATTCATTGCATTTTTGCTTCTACTCTATTCTTGTTTTCCCTAGATAAGGCATTTTATTCTGAAAGCAGCTTTCTTTTCAGGATTGGCTCTTTTATGACTTACAGTCTCTTTTTTGTCTTTGAAATTTCTTCTAGGAGTATAGTATGTGGTTCCCATCTTCACAGGGCTCAGCCTACATCTTAATTGCTCTGTTGACACAATCACTGTGAGATGACTCTAGCCAGTCACTTAGGTTCAAATACTTGGTCTTTTCTTATTTGTATGACCTTTGGCAAGTCATTGAGTCTCCAGTTTTCCCATCTGTAAATTCAAAATAATCATACATTCTTCAAAAGATTTTTCTGAGGGATTATATAAAATATTAAGATAGATACCTAGAATGTAAAAGTTCCAAACAAGTGTTACCTATTGTTGTTGTTATGGAAATAACACTGGATTCATTGGCTCAGTCATTAGGTTAACTGCTGTGTTAGTTACCTACAGCTATGTATGAAATTGCCCCAGAATTAGTAGTATAAAATGGTACACATTTCATATCTCAGTTTCTGGTCAACAGTTGGGTCCCTGACTGCAGGGTCTTTCTGAAGATAGTAATCAATGTATCTTCTGGGATTGCAGTCTCATGTGAACCCTTGAATTGAGATGGAAGGGATGAGAAAAGAAGAAAGGACAAGAAGGGTATGGAGCGGGGTGGGGGGGTGCAGGGGAAGGGGAAGAAGAAGGGAATGGGGAAGAGAGAAACATGAGTGTAACAATCAGTTTAAGAAAATACACTACTGTGATTACAGAATTCAGAGAGATGTGAAATTGTATTCTGGCATCTTTAAGATCATCTATGCAGGGTGCTGGAGGGACTGCTCAGTCAGTAAAGTGCTTGCTGGGCAAGCCTGAGGACTTGAGTTTGGACCCCAGCACCTATATAAAAGCCAGGCTTGGCAGTGCACCTCTGTAACCCCAGCTCTGTGGAGCCAAAGACAGGTCCCTGGAGCTTGCTGGTAAACAGCCTAGCCAACTCAATTAGCTCCAGATTTTTTTTTGGGGGGGGTGGTCTTTTTGAGACAGGGTTTCCCTGTAGTACAAACTGGTATGGAACTCACTATGTAGACCAGGCTGGCCTCGATCTCACAAATATCTACCTGCCTCTGCCTCCTGAATGCTGGGATTGAAGGCATGTGCCACCATGTGTCTGGCCATCAGACCGTTGTTTTTAAAAAAACTTTTTCTCTGTTTTTATTTTATGTGTATGAGTGTTTTACCTACATGTATTTAAGTACACCTGTGCAACCAGTGACTGCAGAGGCCAGCAGAGGGCATTGGATTCCCCTGGAACTGGTGTTAAGGACAGTTGTTAGCTACCTTGTGGGTGCTGGGAACTGAATCCAGGTCCTCTGCAAGAGCAGTGAGTACTCATAACCACCGAGCCATCTCTCCAGCCCCAGACCATGTCTTTAAGACTAAGATGGAGAGCAGTTGAAGAAGACAACCAGCATCAACTTTCGACCTCCACGTATACACACATACACATATGAACATGAACATACGTACACCACACACACATGAGTGTCTATTGTTTGTGCTGGAAAATAATATGTGTGATAAGTTGTACATACAAGGTACCTTTGGGGAGCCTTAAAGGATTCATCTGTATGATTTTGTTTTTTCATTATTCAAAAGCTTTATCTGGTTTCAATTAAACACATTGTTGAAATTCTCCACCACTGAACCCTTCTCTCCAACCATTAAACACCTGGACCAGTTAATATTGGTGTTATGATGCTGATGTGTTAAAATTTCAATGTCTCGGGCTGCTCTGAACAATACAGTGCCTACGTGCCTGAAGTTAACATGACATGCTCCATTTGCAATGCATTTGACAATCAAGTAGGTTTGTGTAAGCCAGAGTGTTGCAACCCCTAATCATTTTGCCAAAAATAAGTTAACTGTTATGTTTTATAACATATGAAGTGTGATAATAAGAAACTTGTGTTTCCATCTCTTCTGTTATTTTTACTGGAATTTTTTACTCCCATAAGATTTTGAGGACATATTTGCAGTTCAGTAGCTAGTCTGTTTGGTTTTCATTGTTGTTGTTGTTTCAGTTCTTTGCAATATTTTTGTAACTAATTATTGACAACTTTGGTCCTTAATCATTTTTAAGAGACTTACTACATGTGTCAGATATGTTGTCTGACCTATAGTTTGATACAATGAAATTCATTTAAAACTGTGATAGGAAAAAAATTTTGTTTCTCTCTTTAAGGAAGTTTGATACATAAAACTATAGAAATTTGTCAAATATTTTGAAAGTAATATCTAGAATAAGGATTTTTTTCCCCCTTTGGAAGAGACCTAGAATGACAAGAATGCCTTACAGCAGTCATCAAAGAAGCTTCTTTTTGCAACAGATGGAGGCTACTGCAGACTTGCACATCTGGTCAGACACAGAAAACATACACCTGGGAGATGCCCAGTACTAGGAGACACATCTGCAGTTGAATCTCTACAACTAAGGCTCATGGAACATAGCAGAATAAGGGTAGAGAGAGGGCTAATGCACCCTCAGCTCTCACCAGTGAGGCTTCCATGTACATCAGAGTGTGATACACACAGAAGGCCACAACTGGTCAAGTTTTGGAGAATAAGCGACTGTAGAGTTTAGGATGGGACTCTTTTGGAACCTCACCCACCCACAGCTCAGGGACCATTGTGGAAGAGGGGGCAGTAGAAGGCCACAACTGGCCAAGTTTTGGAGAATAAGCGACTGTAGAGTTTAGGATGGGACTCTATTGGAACCTCACCCACCCACAGCTCAGGGACCATTGTGGAAGAGGGGGCAGAAAGATTGTAAGAGCCAGGGCTGGTTCACGAACACAGGGATGTGGAGGCCTCCGGGTGACTGGAAACTTGCTCATGTGAGCCTGTGGCAGCAGTGGTGGTCGAGCATGGGACCCATGTCAGCTAAGTTAAACAAGGGCCTAAAGAGGAGGTGAGAAATAGGTGGCAGGCCAGCTCTAGATTGAGAACTATTAGCGACTAATTGCTGCTGGGTGGGGGAGAGTATGACTTACATAAGACCACTGGATGGGCTGACTAGACTCCAGTGGACGCATTTACACTGAAGGACATTTGGGTACAAATACCTAAATGAAAAGGACTCAGCATGTATGGTAGAATACATAGGGTTCGTGGGGGTGGGGGTGGGCTTCTGGATTTGAGTGGGAAATGTATGAAATTTTAATACCTCAATTAAAAAATAAAAATATTTTTTCAAGCTCAAAATGAAAAATTTTTACTGGAATTGCATTTCATATTTCATGATCATATTTTATGAAATTTATAGATTAATTTGTGAATAATGGGCATGTTTTTATTTGTCTCATGTCCATGAACATTACATTTTCTTGAGTCTTTAAAAAATAAATCACTACATATGTACATATATTATAGATATATCTGTACATACCCACATGTTATATATATGCAAGTGTTTTTGAGAATTTCGTACGAGTACTATATTTATATCATTTTCACCCTTCTTGCCTCCTCCAACTTCTCCCATGCCCCCCATTTCTTGTCCCCTTCTTTGATTATTGTTACATATATGTGTACATATGTTTATGTGTGCATATATACACACACACACACATATATATATATATAATACACTGACTCCATTTAGTGGTGCTTATGTGTACACGTGTTTAGGGCTGAACATTTG